TAGAGGTGACTGGGGGAGACCGCCTGAAAATCGGAGCTGCAGATATAAAGAAATAAACCAAGAAAACGTACAAGACAGGTGATGTCTATACTGATCCCTCTGCATGGGAATATTCTGAGACTAGACAGCAAATGTTACAACCATTTTCCCATGACTCAATTTTCTCAGGATCCCCTGGAAATACCATTGCCCTCAGACAACAGGAAGCAGCCTAGAGAACACAATGCTTACATTCCCAAGAAGTGAGGTGGATGGTTTTTGGTCATTTGGTGGGTTTTGGATGTTTGTCATCATTTAATGGAGATATAGAAGTATAGGATAAAAGACAACTACACATTTCAAATATTTTACAGTGGTATGGTATTGATAAAAATTTGCAGGTATTTTTATTATACTGTATTATGTTTATACTCTTGTTTGTGGTATTGTGCTTATGCAGCTCATTTTAAAATGTAATATATAGATGACTGGAGAGATGGCTCAGCAGATAAAAGCACTTGCTGTTCTTCCAGAGGTCCCAGGTTCAATTCCCTACACCCATATGGCAGCTTACAACTGTCTATAACTCCAGTCCCAGGGGATCCGATACCCTCACATAGATATACATGCAGGCCAAACACCAATGCATGTAAAAGTTTTTAAAATATAATGTACAATTAAGAAATGTAGGCTTGAGGTTAGTTATTTATAACAATCAAACTTATAGTCATGTTAGATATGTTTTCAAAGTTAAACAGAAACATATTTAAAAAAAATAAATGTTCTTCAAACACTTCAGAGACCAATAGAATATGGCATATTTAATAACCTAAGGCTTTTCATGTCAGTGAAACTTGTCTGCTCCTGGCACCACCAATCTACTTCATAAAAGGCCACCTGTTTACTTCATAAAAGAATGACAGGCATACTTTTATTGTGCAAAGCTATCCATTTGGGGCAAGAAACTTCCCTTGCCTTGACTGCTAACAGTATGCTGTACAGACTGGACAATCAAGACACAAAGGAAAAAGACTGCCAAACTTTGCCAAAACAAGGTATAATAGTCCTTCAAAATTTCTACTTCATAGAAAAGCCTGTTAAATATTCTCGGCCTGTAGGCCAAAGATAGATGTCTTAATATTGCAGGGGAACTTTGTGTAACTGTCCAGTCAACCAGATGTCTCTGTCATTTCTATAGTTTTGGAAGTGGCTTGCACTGCACTTCCTGTTTACTCAGGCAATATTATATCCTTCTGGTGTCTTTGATGGAGTTCAAGAGTAGATAGCTATAGTTAGGGTTTTCCTTACTTAGGATAGAAGGTAAATTAGGTACAAAACTTTGAACTCAACAAGGTAGGATAGATAATAGAGTAATTTCTCTGAATTCTCTGGATATTGTAAATTTAATTCTTACTTGATAACCGTTCTTGTTGTATATAGTTTTACTATGTTAAAGTTGAAATCCTTTCCTTTTATTTAGACAAAAAGGGGGGAATGCGGCGAGATATTACTTTAACTATGTAAAGATGTGTTACATTTGTTATGTTGTGGAATATTACTTTAACTAGGCAAAGATGTGTTACCTTTGTTTATGCTGCATTTGTTAAGTGGTGTAAAGATGTGTTTCCTTGTCTGTCTAAGCACCTGATTAATGGAAAGCTAAATGGCCAATAGCTAGGCCGTAGAGGGATAGGCAGGGCTGGTGGGCAGAGAGAATACGTAGGAGGAGAGAAGAGCGAAAAGGAGGGAGAGAAAGAGAGAGAGAATGAGAACACGGGAGAAATAGAGGGAGATACCTAGAGCCAGTCAGCCAGGTAGCCAACAGCCAGCCAAAGATGGAGTAGGACATACAAAAGAAACAGCAAGCTAAGTAAAAACAGCTGCCACAGTCTGGGGGCACTAACTATTAAGTCTCCATGTCATGATTTGGGAGCTGGTTGGTGGCCCCAAAGAAAGCAAGCTACAGCTCTGCTCCCTCCAATTCTCTGAGCACTAGCAATCTAAGGCTCTGGTAGCATCATCACACTGGTTTATCCCAGAGCTTTACAGATAGAAACTCCTAGAAAGCCTCTGGCAGCGTGAACTAGTTTCTTCTCTATTGCTTTGAGAAAACACCATGACCAAAAGCGATATAGAGAAGGAAATAGTTTATTTTAGCTTATACTTCCAGGTCACAATCCATCACTGAGTGAAATTAGGGCCGCAACCTAGAAGCATGAAACACAGCTTGCTGGCTTGCTTGCAGGATCATGCTTAGCTAGCTTTCTTATACAACCAAGGACTGCCTGCCTAGGGAATGATGCTACCCATGGTGGTTCAAGCCCTCCTACTTCAAGACAATTCCCTGACAGACACAGCCATGGACTAATCTGATCTAAGCAATGCCTCCGTCAAGGCTTCTCCTCTTAGATGATGCTAGGCTATGTTAAGTTGACAGTTATGGCTAGCTGGGACACAGAGGTTCCTCCATGTTTGGGACAGCACTACCTACTCCCTTTCAGGTTGACTCCTTGATAGAAACAAGTAAACCATGAAAAGGACAATCTAGGCACCTAACCAGTGACCAACCTAAGCAGAGGAGGTCACTGCAACGGGCCACTGCTTCTCTGAGCCTGCTGCAGACCAGAGCTCTTCTCCAGGACTCAGGAAAGAAACTGAGTCAGCAGTCTTGTCCCTACTCACCATTATCTAACATTTGATTCTGAGGCTTTAAGACAAATGCTCTAGAAGAGCCAAGCATATGTCTTGCCTACTTACAGAAATCTATTGCTAGGGTGGAAGCTTCTAGCCCCGAGCAAGGTGTTTAAAATTCATACTCCGGCTTGCTCAGCCGCCAGCTTAATAAGATACCGATTACTAAGTAAAAACTACCACCGATTGAATATGGAATCAACCCTCAAGTGACATCAACTGAGACAATAATTAGCAGAAGTCAATTCCCCCATTCTCTACTGTTAGTGCTTTAAATAACTCCTCTGAACCAGTCATGGTGTTCCCAGCCACTCCAGAAACTGAAGCGGGAGTGTCATACGTTCCAGGCCAGCCTGAGCTACAGAACAAGCACATGTCTCAATACTCAAAACAAAACCTGCCTCTTCTGGCATCTCCCAGTTAGTAAGTCCACGGGGGCCACGCTAAGAAGCGTAAGTAACAGCAGTCAGCAGTTAAGTTCCGTTCCCAGCCTCTCCCATTGTCCCTCACTTGAATGACCTCCTTGTCCACTTGTCCGATCAAACTGTCCCAGAAAGGTTTAGAGCCAGAATGTTCTAGACCAGTGGTTCTTAACCTTCCTAATGCGACAACCCTTTAAGACAGTTCCATGTTGTGATGAAACCATGCCATATGATTGGTGAAACCCCAACCATAAAATTATTTTTGTTGCTACTTCATAACTGTAAATTTGTGACCGTGATGGACTGCAATGTAAATACTTTGGGAACTAGAGGTTTGTCAGTGAAGTCGTGGCCCACAGGTTGAGAACCACTGCTCTAGAGACAGAGAAAGCAGATATGAGACCTAAAGCCAGTCAGTCCAGGGATGGAAGCAGGAGACAGCCCCTCGGTCTCAAAAATAGAGCCTGAACCCTACAGGCTGGGACCTCAAATTGGGATGCAGGGAGGAGAACACCCTCAATTCATAATGGGAATTAAAAGATAAACAAAAAAAAAAGTAGAGGAGTCTCAGAAATTAGAAATGAATGGGCCAGAATCTGGGGCTCTGAGCTCCATGGGGGCCTGAGGAATTGTTAAGATGGGAAAAAAGAGGCATGTTCACATAAAAGAAAAACACAACTGCCCAGACCTAAATTAATGAATATTTAGTTAAACGCCCATTAACCCTTCTTAATTATTGACTTTAGTATTCATAAAGATTTAATCTCATTCAAAAACTAATCCGAGGATTGACTTTTCTCACTTCCAGAGAGAATTCTTAAGTATGCACAATGCAAGCCAAGAAATCATAGCCAATCATAAGTTAAATAAAGCTTAAAGTTAAGCGGTTCCAAAGCGAAATTATAAAACCTTCTTTCTGACTTTTGGGGGGAGACAGAGAATTACTTTATTTTGGAATGTAAGAGCATTTTAATATATCTGTTATCAAAAAAATTTCTATCTTGACAAAAAACAGGTCTTCAGAAATGCTAAAAGGCCCCTGGGTTGAAGTCAGAGCAAGGGTTTCAAGATGCTTATCCCATGCAGTTTAGCTGATGCCAGGGAGAGGCTGGGCATTGCCTTGCTAGGAGGAGGGTACCTTCCTGCTGCCACCAACACTGTAGGGCATGTGGCTAGAAAGCCAAGACCTGCAAAAGATACAAGGTTCCCGTGTTGGGGAGGAGAGCGTGGGAAAGGAGGGAGTACCGAGCATATGTAGAGGGGAAGGGGGGCTGTTAGTCGTTGCTTTTCCTATTGCTGTGGTAAAATACTCTCATGGGGGGAGAAAGGGCTTATTTTAGCTCAGAATTTGAGGGTACAGTCAATCATGAGGGAATCATAATGGCAGGAGCTTGAAGCCGCTGATCACACTACATTCCTAGACAAGAATCACAAGAGAGTAATAATGTCTGTGCTCTGCTCACTTCCTCCTTTTTATCCAGTCCAGGGTCCCAGTCGAGGGGATGGTGCTGCCCAGAGTGGACAGGTCTTCCCATATTGATGATCCTAACCTGCACACCCAGAGACTTGTCTCCAAGGTGATTCTAGATCTAAAGTAATTGAGATTAACCCTTGCAAAGCCAGTCCCTCACCTGTGCACAGTCAAGGGACTCCACATTCCATGCTGCTGTGTGGGGGGAAAGGAGGCCAGAGCTGCCCTGATGTGGGCTCTGGGTAAGGTCAGGTGAGGTCTTGTGGGTGGGTTGGAGAGTAGCCTGCAATCCAAAGATGGCCACACCCTAAACTCCAGAGTCTGTAACTTCACCTAATTTAAATCAGGGTCCCTGCGAGTGTCATTAAGTAAAAACCTAAGGGTGAGATCATCTGGATTAACCAAGTGGCCCCTAAACCCTGTGACACATGCACTGTAAGAAACAGAAGAGGGGCCTTTCCAGCCTCCGTCCCGGACCCTGCAGCCGCCGCGATGTTGATGCCCAAGAAGAACCGGATTGCCATCTATGAGCTCCTTTTTAAGGAAGGGGTGATGGTTGCCAAGAAGGATGTCCATATGCCCAAACACCCCGAGCTGGCAGACAAGAACGTGCCCAACCTTCATGTCATGAAGGCCATGCAGTCTCTGAAGTCTCAAGGCTATGTGAAGGAGCAGTTTGCCTGGAGACACTTCTATTGGTACCTTACGAATGAGGGCATCCAGTATCTCCGCGATTATCTCCACCTACCTCCGGAGATCGTGCCTGCCACCCTGCGCCGCAGCCGTCCCGAAACTGGCAGGCCTCGGCCCAAAGGGCCAGAGGGTGAGCGCCCCGCAAGATTCACGAGA